GTCAAATCCATCAATTATTTTAAAAGAGGTCAATACAGGACTTTTGACCATATTGTTTTCAAGATTACTTTTAAAACGTGGACTGGCGACACAAAACATTTGGTTTTTAAATATGTCTTTACAAAATAAAGTGTTCCCGAAATATATTCAGTTAAAAACCAAAAACCAAAGCCCCGCTGCACAACAAGGGATTAGTCACGGTCAGACCAGATGACTGAAACAAGACAGAAAATACCAATACAAGAAGCGAGATATTATAACTGTTTATCTTAAGGTATGTCATTCAGAATTAAATTATAGATTAAATAATAGGTACAGAATTTGACATCTCAGATTTTAACGTGAGAATTAATATAGATAATATAATAGATAAAAAATTCAATACACAGTGTAAAAAACTAAATAATCTAATTTGCAATAGTAAAAAACTCAATATTACAAAAAAACTCTATATATACAAAAAGTTTTTCGAAAGATACTTTTTTCAATAAATTTATAAATTTAACAGATACTCAATTTAGTAATAGCGAGATACAACTTTTAGAGAAAGGATTTAAACACAACTTGCCCCAACATAATAATGAGAGAACTTTAGAATATTTAGGTGTAGAAAGTGAAGTAACGTTAAACAAAACTGCTAACAATATCGAAAAAAGTATAATTGCCAAATCTATTACAGATGTGTGTAGTCAAACTAAGAATTCCTGTTACAAAGAGAATAAAACAGCAATTTCAATTAAAAATAAATCAATAAAAAACAACATAGTGTTTACAAAAGCAGACAAAGGTAACACTATAGATAAAATAGAATATAATAATAAAACAATAGAATTCTTAAATAATCAAAATATTAACACTTTACACAAAGATCCGACAGAAAAATGTCAAAAACAAATTAAGCTAGCATTAGAAAATTCACAATCAATAGTAAAACCAATAGAACAGAAATACCTTAATATCATGCTTTGATTAAACTACACAAACCGGATCACCCAATAAGTCCTGTAGTTTCTTTTTATACTGCTTCGTCATATAACTTTCAAAAAAATTGTTAGAGATTATTTTAGATCACTAAATTTTCACCTAAATTTACCATAAAAAATACAGTAGAACTAGTTAATAAAATACACAAAAAAATAACATTTTCAATTACCTTACAACTCCAAATTAATTTCATTTGACGTAAAAAATATTTTCCTAGAATCCCTCCTACAGAAACTTTTATTCTAGTAAAAAACCTTTTAGAACAAAATAGTACAAATCCAATAATTACATCTGAAATTTTACATCTTCTTGAAGTTTTCATAAACCAGGACTACTTTGAATTTAATAATCAAATATATACAAATAACAGTGCAGGACTTATAATGGGCAATCCTCTAAGCCCATTGCTGTCAGATATTTTGATGGATCATCTAGAGACAAAGATTTCAAAACATTCCATATTTAAAATGTTTTTATATTGGTGGAGATACGTAGACGACGTACTAGTGTGTTTTACAGGAACTAACAGGCAACTCGACCAATTTTTATCGTATATTAATTCACTGCATAGTCATATTGAATTTACAATAGAAACAGAACAAAATCAATCTATAATTTTTTTAGATTTAAAAATCAGATTTAAAAACAAACATGACTTCTTCATATTTCACAAACCTACCCATACTGACACGACTATACACAATTCATCATCCCATCCAAGACAACATAAACTGGCAGCATATTATAGTATGTTACATATATTAACAGAAATTCCGATGTTAAAATACAACTTTGAGACATAATTAAATATAATTAAGCAAATAGCAGTAAATAACGGATACAATGAACAAACAATTAATAAAATGTTAAATCAAAAACTACACAAGAAAGCCCTGTAATTAGTATTTCCACCACAAGAGAAAAAAACCCAGTACCTTCTGTTCGATTACATATACAGGCAAAATTACAACAAAAATAGCCAAACACATAAAAAAGAAAGGAATAACACCAGCTTTCCGAACAAATAACAACCTAGGCAAATATATCAAAAACAACAAGAGCCAAAATAAAAAATACTTAGACAGTGGTGTGTACAAACTTAAATGTGGGAACTGCCCAAAAACTTAAATCGGTCAAACTAGTAGAAACTTTAACAAACGAATAGCAGAACATAAAAGGGGTTTCAATAATAAAAAACAGATTCTACATACGCACTTCACCTTCTAGATCACAATCATTCTTTTAACGACGAATTTAAAGTTCTTCACATTCAAAATAAAGGTCTTAAGCTATCCTTGTTAGAATCTATGGAAATCAACAAATTAAAAAACACAGATATAATTCTGAATGACCAACTCGAGACAAACAGTTCTCCCCTCCTCAACTTATTTCATTAGAGACTATAAAGTGTAAACGCATGCCAAAAATAGATCACTTAAAAAAGACAATCAGCCGAAACAGCTGTAGTGATAAAAGTTAAAATAAATTTTTGTGGAAGTTTGAAAACAATGTTTTCAGTGTTTTATTGTTACAGATAACACTAAACTCCAAAATTACCTTATCACATTGGGAAATATAATTCAACCCAAAACATTACTTTCTGCTCTCTATTGTCCAACAATTGCATTTGCATGTACCTTTCCAGCAAACAAATTGTAGAAGATTTCATAAACAACAGTGGATACATAAAAGATTAAGGTGAAATTGTTTAAGCCAAGAAGTTAAAAACACCAGCTGAGGGGATTGTTCTTTCCAACGTGTTCCCTACCATACCTCACAAACTACTAACCAACGAATTAACGAATTAAAACATGTTGGTGTAGTACCGGTTTCACCTATGACTTTGGTTAAAATTATTGCCAATTTATCCGAATATAATCATATTCTCAGCTTCAGAATTTAAACATACATCAGTCCCCATAGCCTAACACTTCCCGAGCTATTTCTATTTGGATAATACGTCCTCTAGGATTTTTATGTCTCAAGATGTAAACCTGAAATACTATTGCTGCAATAAGCCTGGACACAAAACATCTTAATGTTCCGAATCCGAAGTTCTAGAAGATCAAGACAAATAATGAAAAATCTTGACCTAGCCTAGATAATGTAGTTTCGCAACAAACACGTACACTATCAGAAGAACAAATGATATTCTCCCACGTTTATACAACACAGTTTCCCAACAGATACAGCCACTAAGAGAAGAACCAGTGTTAGCAACAAATATTGTTCAAGAATCCAACTCTCAAAACGCACCATTGATGATCTTATTTCATCTGAAATCGAGTCTTCTCCAGCAAAATGTAAGGCAGTTCTTGAGCCTGAAATTCGTCCAAAACTAAAGAAAACTAAAACTCAACAAAAGAAATCATAAGATTTCTTACCTAGCAAACCGATTCTTTACCACTGTGCTTTTTACAACTTGCAAAGCAAACATATTGATTAATTGGTCGACAAGGGAATCTAAAATATGCATTCCACAAGCCGTTCATCATGGCCAAAATTCGTAGTGAATTTAGTTTCTGGTACCCAAACAGAGTAAAGAAATAAAACATAATGACTATATTAGATTTTTATTTCGATGCAGGGCGGCGACAAGCCGCTTATATGTATTTCAACCTCTTTAGGTATCATCAGAACGGATAAAACTAACACTGTTTTAACGGAAAGTAGTAGTAGCCCTATATCACGGCCACTAAAACACGCAAAAACATTTATTCAAAATCATTATCCATCCTTCGTTCTAAAATATCACTAACTGGATATGATATTGACTAAAGAAATCAAATATATTCTATGATCAAAATTTTTCGTTTTATTAATATGTTAGTCTTTGTGATTTAAGCGATATTCAACTTAATAAATGATTAGGCTTTTGACCCATAATAGAAATTTAAAAGGGTGAATGGACTGGTTAAATATTTTCGTTTTAAGATATTATGTGTGTTAAATGAAATCGTAGGCTTCCACGGCCAGAGGCAGAATTATAGTTTATTCGTCTTCCGGGTTTGGACCGTGTTTCGAACAATATAGAAAAAAAACCCATATTATTTCTAAGAGCCCCTTCTTTTATTCCAGGAAAATCCGCGAATCTCTAGAGATCCGAAAAAATCCACATAATATCAATCGAGAGGAAGGATACTACTTGTCTCCCATATGGAATCTCAGTCTAGAGCCGCCGTCCGGTCCCGCTACCACGATGCAGTCACATGATTGGCCAGCGCGCGCTTCTTGACGTTCGCGCCACGGAGTGTGCCGATACGTCCCGACACGACAGGTCACCGCGACTATAAATAGAGCGGTAGCGGAGTAATCGTCGGATTGACAGTCAAGTTGGTTGTCAGCAACCAAACAGTGAAGACGTGCTTCGGAGTGCACTAAGTGACCAAAGTCAACGGGGCTTTTTAGCTCCACCGGTGGTGTAAGCACCGAAAGTGGCTTAGGCTCTTATTTGTATTCCAAAGCGAAAAAGCGTAACTACAGAGTTATCAGCTTAAACCGCAGAGAGGTTGCCTTTATAGGCCTCTCTCGGAGGGCTATAGCTGTGTAGCGACGCCGAAAAGCGCGGGAAAACTGCACGTGACGACAGGAATGACACTGTAAGGCCTGGTTTTTAAATCCAGGTCGAACAGAAACGGCCCCTGCGCCTGCAGTTTAAGAGACTGCAAGTGGAAACCTCCTGGTGACAGGAGTGAACAACCGTGATAAAGGGCTGGGACGACACCCAGAATCCATTCGACTCGTGTCGGGTGAAAAACAAAAAACAGAGATTGTCGAGAATAAGCTATCCAATATGTCTTCTGTTTCCTCCGACGAGGAATCCCACCAGCCACTCTCAGACTCTCAATTGAGACTCTCAGACGTAGAGTCTCAATTCTTGGCTGACCTGATTGACTTTACCAATCCCCCTAACCCCCAAAACCTAATAATTGAGACAGAGTCAGTATGTAAAAGTACTACTCCAGTCTTAAAATCATCTGCCCCCGCTGTCTCCCGCCATTTCAAAGAAATCCGAGATGGACGCGGGAACATCCACCCCGTATGCGCAAGACGAGGACGCCTCGTACCTAATAGCGAGCGACCATCTGTCGGACGCTTCAGACAATGCAAATAACTTTCCCGCGCGAAACTTCAATGCCATTAGGCAGATGTTTAATAACCCTGAGAAGACGACGCCCAGAAGAGAAGGCGCGAAAAGACCGTGTCCCAGCCTTGGACAGAGCCCAGTAACCGAGAAGAAAAAAATTAGAGATGACAGCAATTACTCCTACGAAGAGCAAATACAGATGTTAGTGAAGAAAATCGAAGAAATGCAGGATACACAAGCTGTCCTGATCGAACAATTGAAGGAGCTAAGAGCAGAAATCAAACAAAAAGATGACGAAAACCGAAAGTTAGTTGCACAAATAGTGAAACTAACAGAAAGAAACACCGAAGCCGCCAAGGAAAAAAATCCGAAGCAGCCAAGTGCCAACAAGCAAACCAATGAAACAGGAAAAACCCGATCAAGACCACAGAGAAGACCAAAAAAGAACAAGTCAAGCCCGTAGAAAAGCCAAAAATAATAAACACGGGAAAACCCAAAAAGAAGGCAGAAGAAGAAGTCCTCGCAGACACTCTGACAGCCTACAACCACATAAGTGGCGACGAAGGTGATCAGATGGACACCAGCGACTACGAAGACGGCGGCGAATGGCAAAGATTTACACCCCGTAAAGCCAAGAAGCAACAAGCCCAAGAAACTAAGAAAATCAGTATTGTTGAAAAACAGACTAAAATTATACAAAAACGTCAAGAAAAAGAAATGGACAAAACCATAAAAACCAGTCAGGCGAGAAGAATCGAAAAAGAAAACAACGAACCTCAGCCAAGTACTAGCAAGGCCGCTACAAATGAAGTATCGGATGTTCAAGAAACGGCACCGACAACGACGACGAAAGTATTGCCAAAACCATCGGCAATCATCTTAAAAACCGTGAGCGCACACCAGAAGATACTTCAAAAAGCAGCGGGACAGAAATTAATTTCTGTTAATAAATTTGCTAGGTCTGGCAGGTCGATTATCATACAGACGAAAACCAGAGAAGACTACCTAGGTATCATCAAGATCCTAGAAAAACACACGCCAAAAGTGGAGTTTGTGGCATACCCGATCGACGGTGAGAGACTTAAAAGAGTCATCATCAGAGGATTGGGCGCCGGTACAGACACCGAAAAAATACGCAATGAGCTAAACGACAAAGGAGTCGAAGCCACGAAGGTGATCAACATGATCTCCAAGAAAGAAGGCAACAAGCCGCTTCCCATGTTCCTAGTTACCATAAACGAAGACCAAGACGGCAAAATCAAACAACTCACAAATCTCTGCTACATGAAAATTCGTGTAGAAGACGAAGTTGAAAACCGTCGAGAAGTAATCCAGTGTTTCAACTGCCAGGGATACTTCCATAGTTCGAAAGCATGCCATTGCGGGACTAAGTGCGTGAAGTGTGGCGGAAACCACCTCAGCGAGGACTGCGGACTAACAAGAGAGTCCAAACCAAAGTGTGCAAACTGTCAAGGCGAGCACACAGCCAACTACAGGGGATGCCCTAAAGCTCCCAAAAAGAAACCAACCCCAACACCAACACCGAGAGGAAGGCCCGTCAATAGCAACCCCACAACAAACGGAGTTAGCTACGCGCAAGCCACAAAAGGTCCCGCAAACAACAACCAAAGCACAAACGAAGCCGCTGCAATGATTGCGAAATTCAACGCGGAAATGAATCAAAGATTCTCGCAATTTACCAGCATGCTGGAACAACTAACCCACGTAATGGCAACAATTAGTAACATGGGAAGACAATGTTAGTACACCAGTCGACAGATCTTCGCATTGGGTCTTGGAACTCAGGTGGATTTTACACTAAAACCAATCTTCTGGACGAGTTTGCAAACAGACTCGAATTAGATATCGTAGCACTGCAAGAAACTAAACTAGTAGAACGGAAAAAGACCAAATTTCCGGGCTACGATATCTACAGGAACGATCATAGGGCAAACTCGGGTGGAACAGCCATCATGATCAAAAAAGGTATTAAACACCAACACATACCAACACCCGGGGGTCTAGACACGATGGAAGCCACAATCATAAGGCTCACAAACGGAAATGAGACAATTAAAATCGTCTCAGCATATGTAAGACCACAATATCACGTACTAGACGCAGACCTAAATCTTATCCTGGATTCAGAAGAAACAACGGTTATTATAGGCGACCTAAATGCAAGATCACCGAACTGGTATGACAGAAGTACTAACGGCAACGGAAGACGACTCTGTGCATATCTTGAAAACAAAAATAATACATACGCAGTTGGCCCGGTGAATCCAACTTGCTACAACGGAATAGCGGCACCGACTCATATCGATATTGCAATCCTAGACAACGTGGGGCAACAATATGAAATAAACTCATTAAACGAAGGCGATTCTACACATAACTTAATCGTCCTAACCCTGGGAGCTACAGACATCGAGCAACTACATCCCCGCAAAACAAAAATAATAAACTGGTCAAACTACAGGAGATTAGTTAGCGAAAACATCGGTGTGATACCCACTATAAATAACATCACAGAACTCGAAAATAGTGTGGAAAAATTAGAAACTACGCTAACTAATGCCATCGATGCCAACGCTAAAGAAAAAGAAATAAGAACAACATACGGAAGATTTAGAGACATTAGCACCGAGCTAAAAGATCTAATCAGGGACAAAAACCGTAGTAGACGCAGAGCATACCGCACCAGAACCAGAGAAGATAAAAGGATTGCAAACGAGCTCGATATAGAGGTTAAAAAACAGCTGCAAATACACAGAAGCGAGAACTGGGACACCTATATCCAAGAGTTAAATCCGAATAAATCCGGTTTCTGGAAGTTGTCAAAGATTCTTAGAAAAAATAAAAAACCGATCCCACCACTACATGGTGAAAACGGCATCGTATACACAGTACAAGATAAGGCAGAAGTACTCAAAGACGAGATGGAAAAAGCCTGCAAAAATATTGAACACCCACACGAAGACATCGACTTCACGATACAAGTAGAAAATCAAGCAAGAAGACTGCGTAGACGAAAGGGAAGAATAGGACCCGAACACACGTCCCCCGAAGAAATTAAGAATCTTATAAAAATGACAAATTCAAAAAAAGCACCAGGACCGGATAACATCACCAACAAGGCCCTCAAAAATCTACCGGCGAAAGCAATAGTTTACATAACAAACATAGTAAACGGAATTTTAAAACTGCGCTACTTCCCGGACAGGTGGAAAGAGGCCCACGTAATGATGATACAGAAACCAGGAAAAAACGGCACTTTCCCACAAAATTACAGACCGATAAGCTTATTGTCATCAGTAAGCAAAATCGCAGAGAAAGTCATCCTCAAAAGACTAAACGACGAATCACTAGCGTTAGGAACCATACCTGAAGCTCAGTTCGGTTTCAGGGCCGAACACTCATGCGAACTACAAGTCCTGAGACTGACTGAATACATCACCAAAGGGTTCAACGAAAAAATGTACACCGCAACTGCATTCCTAGACGTGAGTAAAGCGTTCGATAGGGTATGGCATCTCGGGCTACTCTATAAAATTAATAGTCAGGGATATAGTGAGGCGATGACGTGTCTTCTGGCATCATACCTAGCAAACAGAAGGTTCAGGGTAAAGATAGGCGAAACCCTGTCTGAACTCGGAACTCTGGAGGCTGGTGTGCCCCAGGGGGCGGTGCTGTCGCCTTACCTATACACTATTTATACCGCTGACACTCCGACTGACCCCAGAACGCTGGTTAGCCTATACGCAGGCGACACAGCCATAGCAGCCAGCAGCAGAAACCCAAATCTAGCCGCAAGCCACCTACAGAACGCGCTCAACAGATTCCAACGCTGGTGCATAAAGTGGAAAATTGCCGTAAACCCCGAGAAAACACAAGCCGTTATGTACAGACACCGATTCGGAAGACCGGACACAGAACTACGGGTAGGGAACACCCCAGTAGAATGGACGAACGAGGCTAAATACATCGGAGTCATATTAGACAGGAAATTAACATTCACCGCACATGTTAAACAAGCTGTCTACAAAGCAAAAGCGCTAAGAAGTCAACTCTCTTCGCTAATAGGCAGAAAGAGCAAACTGCGATTCAAAACAAAAATGATGGTAGCTAACAGCAAAAGCAACAGCTAATGCAAAACGAATAGGAAAAAGATCCAAACAGCCCAGAACTGGATAATCAGAGAAGCCCTAAATTTACCTAAGTACGTTCCACTAAGATACTTATTTAGGGACTCTGAACAAAAGCGAATTCTGCGAACAATGGATGAAAGAGCGCATAACATATTCAATCAAATAAATACTCATCCCAGCAGATTACTCAGAGAGTTGACCAACTACGACATAAACCACAGAATGGTACATAAACGGCCAAAACACCAACTCGTCGGATATAGGTAATTAATATATATGAAGAAACAAGATAGACACAGAGTCGTCAAAACATCAGACAACGAGCACAAAAAAAAATAATAACTAGATTTAAGTACAATATACACCGGGGTGTGTGCAGGCTCTATACACCCGGGAATGCACACCCCAAACACACGCATACTTAGTAGTAGATTAGACATAGTTAGTTTTAAATAAAATAAAAACAAACAAAAAAATATACACGGAGTGTGTGAGAGCAGTATACACTTTGGAATGCACACTCCATAGTTAAGATAGTTCTTAGTTAGTTATTAGTAGATAGGGAATAAAATAAATCAAAAAGCTCGCTGCCTGATCAAAACCAATCATGACACCACCAAACCGCAATACACCATCTTTTTACACAAAAATCCAGCAAAACACAACTAAAAATTACAACACCACATAGTTAGTGTATGGAGTCAGCACCCCGAACTGACCAAGATGAAACCCCAAATTAGTATACATAGGGAAATGTAAAATAATTAATAGCGCTAAGAATAATATAAATTAACATAGTTACTAATTTCAATAAATACACAAAAAGTCACTTAATTAAAAACAGTCATAGCCATAAGGCACAGGCCCCTCAGGCACCACAAATTGCGACCTCCGAGCATCAAGACCATGTACGACATACATGAGCTTGGTGGCCGGGACACCTTCGAGCGCACAGCCGGCGAGGAGAACAAAATTTATTTTGCCAAATCGACGGCTGTGTGAACGAGCACACATAAACCTTTCTGGACAGAGAGCCGCTGGCTCAAACTAGGGGCTCTCTGTCCGGAACACACGAACTTTTTCAGGGACCTCAGTCCCGACGTTAAGATACAACACAAAATAGAGTCAGTAAAGTAAATTAGGGAGAAAAGCCAACATTTAGGCTACCCCTACAGACAGGTGGCATAACCACAACCAAGAAATAAACCAAAGGTATCTCATTACCCAGGGTACCTTGACTAAAAGTAAGATCAAAGCCTCCTCACGTCAGTCGCACGATGAGGAGGGGTGGAGGAACGCCTGGGGGTCAGATAGGTACCACTTCAATTAGTGAAGTGAGACCGGTTTGATCTTCGAGCATGTGGATCCCACCCATATGGTGGTATACACATGCTCCTGGGGGTAGGGTTGATCACCTCGTGTGTTATTGTGTGTGTGTGTGTGTGTGTGTGTGTGTGTGTGTGTGTGTGTGTGTGTGTGTGTGTGTGTGTGTGTGTGTGTGTGTGTGTGTGTGTGTGTGTGTAATCGTCGGATTCACTCCCCGCCTCTCGACGCGTTAGTGTTCTGAGCTGTTGGACGTGAATCCCTGTCCTGGCATTTGGTTTTCACTTCTGGCTGCGTTAAGTAGTTGAGTTACTGTGACCAAATGCCCATCTTGGTAGTTAGTATTCGCCTCTGGTTGCGTTGAGTAACTGAGTTACCGTTGCTAACTACCCATCTTCCTCTCTTTTGATTTCTTTTTCTTTGTTCTCCTGAAGAAGCTACATACAATTGTAGCGAAACGTCGAGATGAACCCACTTTTGGGCCACTCACAAATGACACGGTCCAAACCCGGAAGATGAATAAACTATAATTATGTGTGCTTTTTGTTTTTTATTATATAGATAAATTATCAATATAGTTTATATACATACTATTGTCAATATAGTTTGTTTACGATCCTATGTTTTATACGTCTTTTTTTGGATTAAACATAATATTTTTCAGTTTATAGAATAAATTAAAACATTTTGTGTTCAACACATAGCAACAGTAAACACAAAACTTATCGAATGTTATTTCCATAGACAGGCCTGAAAGTGAATGAAATCAAGGGGATTAAAAGATGTAAAAACTGGATTTTTTTAAAAATCTATGTGAAGATTGAATTTTTTTTGTAAAAAATCGCATTTGCTGCAACGACTTCCTGCCTTATACCATTTCATCAATCTATAGCGAAGTATTGATTCTATTTCAAAAAAAATTGCATACGGAGTACTGGTGCCCTAAGGTTGTTAATTATGACCTAAACATATGTTGTTAATATGTCAGAGTCCGTAGTTTTCTTCTTCATGCTGCTTGAAAATTTGTTAGTTTTCAGGATAAGGAACCCAAAAAAGGCATAACGGCAGATATTAAAAACAAAATAATTTAGCTTAGAAACGTTGCGAATAATAAGGAAATTCAATTTTCAGAAAAACGAACTCAGTTGAACTCTAAATTTCCTTTTCTTTTTGCTTATCGCATTACATTTTCAGTGTACAAAAAGGCATAAGGGATGAAATCGTGGTTAAACTTCGTACTGTAATCCGACAGTCTATAGTGCTAGTATTCGATTCTGAGAAACTGTAACTTACAAATTGCAATATTTTCATTAGCTGCTTCCCATAACCCAAACAATATACCCAAACGATATCTTTAATACAGATTTTTCTAGATGAAGCAGGTTTTATCTTTCTGAATACGTTAATTCACATATGACGTGGTCGTTATCTAAAAGCCTTCATTTTTTATAAGAACCGTTATATATAAAAAAAGGTAGTATTTGGGTTGGAACATGTCGAGGGCGGTTGATAGGTCCCAGTTTTTAAGAACATTTACTGCTGCAAGATATGGCAATGATGTAGTTCTTCAAGTCTCTGTAGATTCTTTTTTTTATTTTTTATCGATTTTTAACAGTGACTATCGAACTGAAAGTCGAAATAAGAATAAAGATTTTATTTTTATTTATGCGATCATTAGCCTGTAAGAATTATAACTGAAATTGTGATATGAATCAAATAAACAAATTTTAAATAATTGTTATTCATTTTAGCATCCTTGGCTGCTCTTCCAATGGCATTAGGCTGTATCTTCGGCGGTATCTCTCTTGCAAAATTCGGCAGAAAAACAACCCACATAATCATATGCTTGCCGATGTTTCTGGGTTGGATTTTAATGTTTCTAGCATATGATATAAATATGATTTTTATTGGAAGATTTATCACAGGACTTATGACTGGAATGGTGGCTTCAGCATGTAGTGTATACATTGCTGAAACCTCAGATCCGTCTTATAGGGCCTTTTTGCTAGGGCTGATTGTTGCATGTGCTTCATTAGGTACGTAACAAGGTTAGTTAAATATAATAATAAGCAAACCACCATATAGTAAACAACATATATATATATATATATATATATATATATATATATATATATATATATATATATATATATATATTCTTAGAAAGGGCTTTAGTTACTAAGTGAGTAATATATACAAATATCTTAGGTTTCGTAGTCAATATTGGCCTTAAAGTAAAACTCTTTTAGGTTTGTTAAGCTTTCGAGTTTATTGTACTCTTTTTTAAAACGTACTAAAAATTAACATAAAAAATTACAATAGAAAAATGAAGTTATTTAATCTTCAATAGGCTTACCCTTGTGAGAATTGTGTTTTAAAATTAGCAAAATTAATTAACATAATGACATTATTAAATTTGATTTAATTTTTAATTTTAATTTCTTAAAAGTTACGCATATTAAAGGGATTATTCCAAGTTCAAATGAGATAAGATTTATTTTTATTTGTGTTTTTTCTTTCTTAGTTACGTAGTAACATAAACTCTGTTGCTTGTTTAATAACTGTAATATTATATCAAAATTTGCAATGAAGGTTTGCATAAACATAGACACTTCCTCTGTCAAACTCACCTAAAATAAATATAAAAAATAGAAGAGATATGGAAACCTTAGTAATAAGTTTTGACAGAACGAAAAAGTAAATCAAATTTAATAATGCCATTATGTTAATTAATTTTGCTAATTTTAAAACACAATCCTCACAAGGGTAAGCTTATTGAAGATATAATAACTTCATTTTTTTAATGTAATTTTTTATGTTAATTTTTAGTACGTTTTAAAAAAGAGTACAATAAACTCGAAAGCTTAACAAACCTAAAAGAGTTTTACTTAAAGGCCAATATTGACTACTAAACCCAAGATATCCGTATATATATATATATATATTATATATATATATATATATATATATATATATATATATATATATATATATATATATATATATATAATTATACAGGATGTTTCAAAAAAGTATGTCATAAATTAAATCACGCAAATCACGCTTTCGGGGACAAAAATAAATTGATTGAATCCAACTTACCGTAGTACAAAAGTCTACATAAAAAAGTTACAGCCCTTTGAAGATACAAAATAAAAATTGTTTTTTTTGCATTATTTCCTAAACTACTTAACATTTTGTATTAGAAATGGATACGTTACTTTCTTGTCCTGAAAGCATTTTTCATACAAAAAAAAAACAACAAAATCTAAGAACACAGAAAAATTTAAAAGGGGGTGTGCAGCCCTAAATCTTTTTAAACTAAAAACTTTTGAGTACGTTCAAATCAAATGAATTTTGTGGCATGATTAGTTTAACACATTATTTTTAAAACTTTTTTGCGTCCTATAACTTTTTCGAAAAACTAGTTTTTTCCTAGTTGGTCAGAGTTTAATAGTTTAGGAAGATTATCCTAAAAGGTTGGATTTTACAATTGGTTGTTAATGGAGAACACTCCAAATATTAATTGTATTGGAAATATTTTGTTTACCGATGAGGCTACCTTCAGTAGAAATTAAATAACTAACCATCATAACGAGCACATTGGGGCCGACTAAAATTCTCACGCCAAAAAACCGACTGATCATTAAAGGACTTTCAAAGTTAATATTGGGGCAGGAATTGTGGATAACAATATAATAGACCCAGTATTTTTTCCCAACAATTTAAATGGTGATAATTATTTGCAGCTCTTGGCAAACGATTTACAAGAGTATTTGGAAGAACTGAATATTGCAATAAGGCAAAATATGTGGTTTCTACAAGATGGAGCTCCACCGGATTACAGTAATGAAGTCCGGGAATAGCTCTGCAGGCAGTATCCTGGTTGGTGGATTGGAAGAGGTCGTGATGCATCTATTGCTTGGCCACCCAGAAGTCCAGGTCTTAACCCCATGGACTTTTGCTTTTGGGGATTCATGACAGAGAAAGTGTATTCTGTAACAATAGGGGACGAACAACACTTGAGGGTTAGATGAAGCTGCAAATCAATTTCGTCAGAAAAATATGATTTTTCAGCGCATTCGATTTTCCTTATTAAAACGATACCGAATGTGTATTGAAGAAAATTTCAGGTTATTTTTAACATTTATTGTAATATCATATTTATAGAGGTTATAGACATTTTTTGTACTTGTTAATTCATTTAAGCCATTTATTTAGTTTCACGTAATTTTTTAAAGGTGAATGAATAGAGCTGTAGCTCAATAAAAACTGTTTTTTGAAAAAAATGTTAGAAAGCAAAAAAAATTTAAAAATAATGTGATTAACTAATGATGCCCCAAAATTCATTTGATTTGAACGTACCCAAAAGTTTGGGGAATTTAGGGCTGCACACCCCTCTTAAAAATTTTCTGTGCTCTTAGATTTTGTTGATTCATCAAACAATCATCTTTTTTATGAAAAATGGTTTCAGAACAAGAAAGTAACGTAAAAGTAGTTTAGGAGATAATGCAAAAAAACAATTTTTATTTTGCTACTTGAAAGACCTGTAACTTTTTTTGTGTACACTTTTGTACTAAGGTAAGTTGGATTCAATCAATTTAGTTTTGTCCCCGGAATGCGTCATTTAATTCATCAGATACTTTTTTAAAACACCCTGTATATAAAAAAGTTGGGTAGTATTGACTAGTATTTGAGGTTGCAGTCATTTATTTAAATTTATAGGGTAGGATAAGAGAATATCTTTGTTAATATCGAGCTTAAGTAAAACTCATTTGATTTGTTATGATATGCTAAAATAAGTTTAAAATTATTTTTTCACAATACAATAAAATTAACACGAAAGAACATTGTATTAAATAGGCATCAAAACTTACAACATGAGGTTGATCTAAAAAAATTTCTCACAGTAGCATAAAATATTAAAATTAAAATTGTATGTCTACTAATATTTACAATCTTTTAATTTTATTTAGCTTGAGAAAGTACATGGTTAAATAATTTATTTTGAAACTTTATTTATTTCAGAAAGGCACTCAGCTGTGTTTATTATATTTCCCAATAATTGTTGATAACTAGTTTTCAATTGTTAAATGCTGGCTCTCTTGACACTAGGGATGGAAAAAACCTACCGGTTTTAACCGAAAACCGGTTTGATCGCTTTTTTTATCCCGGTTAAAACCGTTTTATTATTTTTAAAGTAAAAACCGGTTATTAGGTTTTTACGGTGATTAGGATTAGGTTAGGTATTATTTTGGATCCCAATCATAAGTAATAGCAAACTAAAGTGCATTGTAAATGTAACAAAGTTACATTATTGGATTAAAAAAAACCGATAACCGGTTATTGGAAAAACTGGTTTTTTTGGCCGATTATAACCGCCCGGTTAAACCGTGAGCAAAAAAAAAAACGGTAACCAAAAACCGGTGTTTTGTCAAAAACCGCTATAGCTACTTGAAACTGCACACTTTTATTTAGAAAAGAATATCGCATCAACCATGGATTATTAGCAACTACATAAGGTAGGTTATACATTGTGATATACATATATATATATATATATATATATATATATATATATATTATATATATATATATATATATATATATATATTTACGGCATAAAGTGAACTCCGCCCATGTTAAAATTCAGGTTCAAGTGAGCTCCGTGGTCAAGTGGACACCGATATACGGAGCTCACATGACCATTCCATAATATTGGCTCTGTCGATTCGTTAAGATGTATAGTTTCATAATTCTTAATAAAATTTTGGAGCTCATAAGTACCCCTGTATCATAAATGTATTTCGCTTAGTTCACGTGTATATATTATAGGGGTCGTTCAGATCTTTTTCACTGTATATTGGAACCATAGGAATATCGGTTTAAGTAAGCTCTGATAGTTTGGCAACTATGCACTTAGGCCAGCGTTCTTGATATATATATTTTATATATTTTAAACGGTTCATACGGACTCCTTTTCATACGCATTACAATATGTAATCTTCTTCTTCTTCTTGATGTGCCTATCCGTTATGAATGTTGGCGATCATATTGACAATATGTAATAGATATGTATAATACCAAATACCTGTTTTTGGTAGGTACCTGCTATTCTAAAAATAGCTTTATAAATACAAAAGGATTTCATTACCAAGTTGGACGTGTTTTTTCATCTGCGAATATTTCCTAATGTATTTTGTTAACATGAATATGTCTTTATACGTTTTATTTAAGAATACGATTAATAAGATCTTTTAGTTAATCCATTGTTTTACGATATCTTGTATCCAGCTTCTTTATTATTTTATTTCTGGTTTTATCTGTGTAATACATATAATTCTGGATAGGTTATCTTAAAATAAATATTTAAGTGCAAAAATAGATATTTGTATGTAAAAATTGGTAGTAGTGCACAAAAGAGGAAAGAATGCTTAATTTATATAAGAAGAATGTACCAGTTCACCAATATTACATACTTCTAAATGTTTTATCTGCTATTTAGGGGTAATATGTAATCAATAAACGTGGAGTTAGTGTCAAATTTGCAATAATCTTTGGTCAGTTTTTTCTCGATTTTAGTCATAAATTGAGCTGGTATTCGTTGAGTGGATGTTGCGATTCTAGACTTTGTATCTTTTATTCTCTAGCAGTCTAGCTACTTATCTTGGATATTAGGTGAATTGATAGCTACGATATTGTAGAGCTGTGTGATATACGTATGTATGGATGTGTGTGTGTGTGTCTTAATATTCGCTGAATTTGGCTGTCTAATTTATAGCTAAATCTTCGTGTTGTGTTGGTGTCATCCATACTTGCAAGGTATATTCGGTAGCAGAAGCATAGAGTGCAAGCGTCTACGTTTTAAGGATGAAAGGATGCTTCTCATTTTTAGCTGACAAGTTTGCAGAGATTATTTTTCTGGTCCTCAGTTTGCCTTTTAGTTTTAAACAATGTTCTATGAATGACAAAGTGTGATACAAACTATCTTCAAGGTATTTATAGCAAGTCCAGAGTTTAAAAATTTCATGACACTATTGGATG